TTCTTCGCAAGAAATCCAGAGGGGACCGCGTGCCGCTGAACTGTTGAGACAAGCCCGAAAAAGTCTGATTTCACGTCGATTCGACAATGGTGATCAACGCTTTGACCTTGTTTCAACATTGGACTGACGTCACCAGGAAACCTCCGAGTGAAAGGTCTTTGTATCCGCGCCTCTGGTGGATAGGGAATATCGCCCGATGTGCCCCGTGGTGCCTGAGATGGTGCGATGCTCGAGATATGCTTGCAAACCTTTGCACACACGAATTGTGCATAGGGAACCACTTCTTCGCGCTATGCTTGGAACATACTTGTTTAATCATGGACTCAAAAAACGTGACTGGCTCTTCAAGTTCCTAGCAGCCCTAGCAGCAAGTGCGCCAATGCCGATTCCGAAGCGCGTGTGCCGTGACACCATTGTCCCACTATATTCTAAGCGCAAGGCGCAAACCAGCGTGCGTGTACAGAACTGATTGCTGGATGGAATCATGTAGTTTTTGCTTCCAAAGCCGGATGCGGTGAACATACGTGGACGGCAGCTCGCTCCATTGAACTTGTTGTTGAGTTGTCCGCTAGTTAAGCCGAGCCCTAGGTGATGCATTGTCCGATTGAGTTTTCAATATCGGCTGTGTCCATGTGTTTCCCAAGTGCCAGTGGAGGGGTTCTTCGAGTGGCGTGACAGTACATCTGCAAGTTTGAGGCCTTTCTGTTTTTGTTACGCGCAGTATATATCAACTTATTCGCGGGAGCGCCTGCGAAGGGTTCTTCGTAAAAAAACACCTGCAGAACTACGTCTCATCTACATCTTCACATCTTCACCTCTGCACATCCACATTCTCACCTATATCTCTGCTCATGTTCACATCTGCGCATCTACATCTCTGCTCATCTTCACATCTGCACATCTACATCTCTGCTCATCTTCACATCCTCACATCTACATCTCACATCTTCACCTCTCGCTCTTCTTTACTTTCTCTCTTAAGGCCGGGGGCGGCGCCGCCGCCGGAGCACCGCGAAACGCAACCCTCTGCGGAGATCGTGCGTGTCGAGGGCGCGAAATGCAGGCGAGAGTGCGTTTTGGATTTGGCGCGCGTAAACGCCTCACAGACTGGACGGAATACTTTCAACAACAAGATGTCTTTCACATCCAGTGTCACTTGGAGGGCACGACATTCAAGCCGGCAAGGCGTTGGCTTGAGCAAATTCCGGACTTGGTGGCTTCCTGTTTGCGACACTGGAAATTCGTCTGCGACCAGTTGTGGGAACAGTCCATGCTGGCGGTCGGCGTGGGCAAATCCATGCACGCGCTCTTTCACTGCTTTGGTGGCATCAATCGGAGCGCGGGGATTTTGTGTGCTTGGCTCGTTGTAGCTTACAAACATTCCGCGCAGGAGGCCGTGCAGTTGCTGCTTCAAAAAAACCAGCTTTGCGTCCTCGGCGCGCTCGAGCGTTATGGCACCTGGAAGGTTTGCGCGCGGAATGGCAGAGAGACTTCAGCGCAACACACCGAGGCTAATTTATGTCGCGGGTCGTCCGTCGAAACTGTTCGGGACGAACCTACGACAATCATCACTCAAATGACGCGATCAGCGGTTTCCGCAAAAGAGTCATCGTGACGATAGTATGTGTGTACTTCACCTTCATGACAAACGATGTTCACTTGGAATACATGAGTCGCTTGTCATGATCGTGACGTCGTTTGCTCTCAGGTCGCCCTTACGTCCATTTCGTGGAAACTTCAGTGTGACATGTACGTTCTTCAGCTTCATTCGAACCTCTTCAGCGTTGTACTTGCGCAACCAAGGTTGCGCTGCCGTTGCATCGGCGCATCTACGTCTACACCCCCTCACCTCTGTACATATAGATCTTCACACGCCCACATCCGCAGATCTACCTCTCCACCTCACCACACCCACACATCTGCACATCTATATCACATCTGTACATCCACACTGTCACTCCTTCACATCTGCCCTCTCTTTCTTTCTTTCTTTCTTCTTTCTTTCTTTCTACATATCTTTTCTCTCGCCTCTGTACATTTACATCTTCGCATGCTCACATGCACAGACCTACCTCTCCACCTCCATACATCTGCACATCTATATCGCACCTGCACATCCACACTGTCACTCCTTCACGTCCACCCTCTCTTTCTCTCTTTCTATATATCTTTTCTCTTCATATTTTAAGTCTAATTTCTTCGCAACTTCTTTCTCAATAACAGATTGTATAAAGAACCCATTGCTCTTGGACAAATCAATTTTTATTGTTTCATAACTCCACAGTACTGAACAATCACCTGTCTCGCTGTCGGGCCAACCGTCGTCTAGTATGAATATTTTTTCTTTGCAAAGAGCAGCTGCCCTGGCGGTCATGTGACATTCAGAAAAGGACGTTCTCAGCACCACGCTTTGCACACTTTTCAATACACATTTGGCAGATGTTTGCATGGCACTGTCCCTTCACACGTTTCTGTGAGGATTGTTTCACACTGTCCCCTCACCCTGGCCTTTGTCAGCAACCTTGCTTTTCCACAAGTACTTGCAAAAATTACAGTTTCATCGAAAATCACTGAAGAACCAAAGAAACCAACAAAACCATCAAACAACATTTGTGACAAAACTTTGCCTCCCCATGGTCGGTGCAGAACTGAACGAACTTTTTGCTTCTGTAATTGGAGTTAGATGCAGAATGATACGTACGAACCCTGCGTGAAACGGTCATCCACCAAAAGCACGGGAACCCCCTCGGCAAATGGGGGGAGCCAGGTACCACAACCAGTTCCTGAGCAGGATTTTGTCCAAGCACTCAGTGCCAGGCGAGGTGTGCAACGGCCAAGATAAAGGGCCACTCAAAACCATAGGGTGTCATCCAAACCCATTGGTAAAAGGACAATTAGATACTAAGAGACTAAAACCTTGTGGTCCGTTCTTTTTTGTAAGACAGATCCAAATCGCAATCCTTTTCGTTTAGATTTGCTTGGATGACGACCTATCTCTACGCCATGGTGTTTGTTGTGTTCCGACATGTTCCGATGCGTGTGTGATGAGCAAAGTGCAGGAATCCTGGCCATCCTTGATTGTGGTCCAGAGCTTGAGGCGAAGGTTCAAAATGTATTTCGCATGATACATTAAATTCCAACGAGATAGATCATGCAGAGACAGCGAGCAAGCTGCTACTGCTGCCTCCAAGATTTTCCATGAGGCCTCGTGTTGCACACATCCCGCAAGAATCTTTTTTCTCTCTCTGTTTTTGCTCACGGAACATCAGTGTATGATTGCACGTGCGCATGTGCTTGGCCGTGGTTCCCAATGCAGCTAATGTAATCCCTTCCAGTTGTATAACTGGACATACATCAAGCTGTGATGGCTTACAAAGAGCATCAACACGAAGAGCCTGGCAGCAGCACGTCTCATTTATGCAGAGGATCCCAAGTTATTAAGATTTTGGGAGATATAGAGAGGTTGCAACTCATTCTGTTCGATGTTGAGGCTCGGCTCTGGCTGTCTGGACCAAAAAAGTGATTCTTTCTAAAGCCATGGTGTATACTGAAAGAACCAAGCTGTAAAATTGTCCAACTCTCTTGTTTGTTTTTGATTGGAGAAGCCAAACCACAGCTAACACGCTCGTAATACTACAGCAGAGATCAGCTGAATTCCTCCGCCGGAATACTCTTGGAGGATGCCCTGCTGGACAATTTTCAGGGGCACTGATTTGTATATACCTGATTATCATCGGTCATCGATTTTACGTGCCATATGCCTCACATCACAGTGGGTGTGGAGTTGGGGATGACCATCCTTCTGAAAGCACGACAATGTTTCTGAATGAGATGATCCACAGCCACGTGACTGGCGATGGAATTGTTTATGTGCTTCTTTTTTCCATCGTGAAGCTGGTGCAACTCCCATGCAGGGGCCATACGAGACTTAGACTTCAATGGTTTTTCATCCAGATGTATCCTATTGTATCCTCAAAGCCTTGACTGCCAGACATCATGAGGCAACACTCCAGTTGAACATCTAGTGCACATGGACTCTCATAAACCGATCGATGCTCATTCGTGATTGCAACTGATGGTGCTCTACTTCGCTCCCTTGGACGGTGTAGCATCACCTTCGGCCCTCCCTTGACTCCTTCGGCCCTCCTTGGCTCTCCTTTTTCGTAGAACTAGGTGGGAGAACAAGAGAACAAGGAGATCCCAGCAGACGAAGCTCATTTGGAGACTTCTGTTTCAAGGCTAGTTGACCAAAGGCCCAGCCTTGCATGCCAGCCTCTGGATGAAGTCAACCACTTTTTCACTGGTGAATCGATTGTGTACGGGAAGAAAGACGGTGATTTACCAAAAAGCACTAGTAACAAGTGCCTCGCTACTAGAAACAAGTGCCTTACTAGTAGTATCAATAAGAATTTAATTAGAATTGCAATTAAGGGTCGTCGTCGAGCCCTGGGACGTTCTGCGTTTGGTCGAAACCGCTGCTCGGATCGGAGCCACGCACCCCAACGAGACAAGTGGACAAGGGAGAAGTCCAAACGAGAGAAGGAACGAAGAACGACGAGGAAGAAGAGTAGAAGTCCAAACATCGATGTTAAGAAACACAGAGACACATCCGAGTCATTCACACACACACACTTGAATGAGTAGAACTGTTTAAATATCCTGATTTTTGAATCCTTTTCTTTTCTAACTTTGTAACTTTTATATAGACATTTCTTGCTAGTCTAGACTGTTTGGGTCCAGGTCTTCCCCTGTGCGCCCGAAAGCACAAAGGATGGACCGTGACAACGGGGGCACGAAATTGATTCGGACTAGCGGCCATCTGAAGTAAGCCCAATTTTGCCTGAGATTCTGGGACATGTGGTCATTTGAAAACTAGAAGCGATGCACTTGTTCCTAGTAGCTTCCTCGTCGGTCATTTGGTCTCGAGAAAGAAACTGCGCAACGACTTGAGCAGTTTTCCAACAGCGGTGAAAACACTAGTTTGTCTCACCTGTCGCCAGGCTTCTGGATAGCAGTGAGTCTGCGGTTTCCTCCCGTTCAGGGGATGGCCGTGGTCTAGCCTGGTGGGGGCCCTGAGTCAACGGGGGGCCCAGGGCCGCCATCGAACCGGCCAGGGAGTCGTTGGAGAACCACGTCATAATTCATCCATTAGTTGTTGATGTAGACCAGCTGGGTCACCAAATCATTTCAACAGCGTGTAGGATTTGGTCACCAAATTATTCCCATGCAAATCACTGTGATTCACGTAGGCCGCCTATCATAATCATTAGGAAGGAGTTGGGTGAACTCTGGCTGCTTGGGACCTATCGCTCATTGAACAAACAGAGCTGGACCAAAGCAGGTCCAAGCTTAACTGAACAAACATAGCTGGAGCATAGAACAGAACACATAGTAGATCTGCAGGCGATCCACTCCACCGGACTTCTGATTGGGAGAAGGCGGTTCTGACAAATGCCTGGCATTTTTGGGCTGAAAGAGGTCCAGGTACTTTTCATATATTACTCGACTATATGACCCCTCTCTCTCTCTGTTTTGGACTCCTCCCTCCAACATACGCTTCCCGGAAGGACCGGACGGGGGTCGTTTTGGATGGAGTCCCCCCAAATGCCAGAGTAGCAAAAGCAACGGTCGTTCGGTGGGATGAACATGAAATGGGAGTTGGGCAGCTTTGGATGGATAGATGGACTAGTAACTAGTAGGCTCTAGTAGGTCTTTCTTGTCTTTCAACGATGCGACATGCCCCGTGGGTTCAGATCATCTGCTTGCATGAAGTATGTTTCTCAGTGGGGATCACTGGGCATGCCAGATGGATGGATGGATGGATGGATGGATAGATCGATGGATAGGATTTTCCATACCAAAAGTCGGTAGACCGGTGACATCAATTGCTTGCTGATGCGGGAGACAGATGATGAGCATGACAACTCCTATGACACACACACAAGAAACGGTGAATGCGCAGAATGGGCCAGAATGCACATTTATTGAATTCTGAAGACAATCTTCTGCAGATGTGTCAGGTGGGCTTGGGAGTTCCAAAATGAGTATGTCCTTGGATCCATCCTGGCCTACGGTGGCGACATCCTCTCTGAAGATGAGGACTGGAAGTGGTGGAGATCCCTGCTTTCGGCCCCCTCTAATCATCTTCCAATCTGTTTTAGGATGTGAGGATACTGAAAAGTAAGACGCTTTAAGTGTGGTCTGTTAGTGCCCATAGTAGGCGGTGCTTTTCAAGGACTCACTTGGCTGATTCAAATTGGTTTGGTGATGACAGTTCGTGTGGGAACCTGTCCCGCAGACAACAAAGTTGTGTGTAGCCAAGGCCGAGGTCAATTCTGTAGGTGCTGGCTCATAACTTCGCCTCCAAAGAATGAACCTGTTTTGGGCTTCAATATGCCTCCCTGCATTTCGTGCACCAGTTCTCCAAATGCTCCATCTAGTGTGGGCTCAAGTTCCTCCTGTTCCAGCTTTCGACCGGTACACGACAGTTCTCAGTCGTCGTGGAGTCTTCAGCTTTCCGATGCCGGTAACATCACCGGGTCGATGTGCAGGATGAATCCGGCAAGGCCGCCATGGCCATGTGTCGGGCCTCCAAACTGTGCCGGCGCTGGTCGGAACATGTTTCGACTCGATCAAGAAGAATTACAGCGACAAAACGCACAAAGGGCTATTCCAGAGTCTTGCGTAAATTCTCAATCAACGTAATTACTACCTAATAGATACAGTAAGTTTTCGAAGCTGGGTCTCTATTGAACGCACGAGACTCGCAGTGCTGGCTGTGAGACGTGTTGCCTGAGGCACAGAGAATCCGGACTGCAATAAAGACAGCCTTGTACAGAAGGCCAAAAGCATGATGGAGGAGAACAACAGCCACATGCCTGACATGACTCACATGCCTGACATGTTGGGTGCTTTTCTTTCCAATTCAATGAGCTAAAAAAGGTATGTGACTCATGTGCCACATGTTTTTGGTTCATTACTGTTTTTTTTTTTTTAACTTTATTCTTATGTTTTGTCGGATATTGCTTAGACACTTGTGATCAATTGTTTCAATTGTTGCAGCAATTTAATTGTTAAGGACAGAGTGTTGAATCTCGAAGTACAGTCAAGGATGCCTCGAAAGAGCATATAAATACGAACATCAAGTTGGCTGATTTGTAGGACCTCAAGAAGCGCAAGGAGCAGAGAGCAGCAGACAGAGAGAAGGCCAGGGGAAATCGTGGTAGTTTGAATTAAAGACACAAAGAAACTAGTGATGGCCTCCTACCTAATAGCAATGGCCTCCAACCTAAAAGCGATGGGATGGCCTCCAACCTAGAAAGCAGAAAGAAACTAAGGAGTTGATGCCAATCTCTGGTCGCATGAGGTACAGTGGTAGGGTCGGATGAGGAACATCATGGGACATCTCTGCACAGTGCATGCGCAAAGCCACTGCATGACCGATGTTGACTCGTCATGCCTGTGGGTTCCAGGATGACTTCGATGACGAAGAAGACGAAGAGCAACTTGGTTCAATGAGGTGAAGAGTTGGTCAAAACTTACTTTCGATTACTTCTATTTTGGGTGCGGTAGCAAGGAAGTGGCAGGTGACCACTTAGAACCTCACTGCCCATGGAGGTAGGGCAAGCAAACATTGGCAAACTGTCCCTCTTAGCAGCTTCTGCAAACTGCGGCTGCCCATAGAAGAAGAAGGCACTGGGTTTTAAGATGAATGCAGCTCCAGCTTCATCAGTTGAGGCTGGGAGATGACGAGTTCTGAGACGGCCGGGTGCTAGTGGATGCACTCCGCTGTCGATCGTCGCCGCCGTTTGCCCAAATCGATGAGGGGGAGCCATCGGCCAGCTCAGGAGTCGAATGAGCCGTTGCAAGGTGCCAACCAGGACATAATGTAGACTGTTAGTTGATTCAGTAAACACATATGAAGAGGTTTTCCAATCCATGTCACAAGGGGTCGTTGTGGGCGCGGACGTCCGCAAGTGCGCGCATCCATGTCTGGCAGACTTTTTTTGATCAAGAGTCTACATGAGGACCATCACTCGGACCCACGAAGCTCCGAAATCCTGGTGGCCGGGCCCAAATCCCTTGGACGATCGCTTTCCCAATTGCTGGTCGACACCGTCGACCGGTTGCCTGAAGTCGCAAGAGCTTCAAGGGGACGCGAGGCCGGAGAAACCGACGGGCTAAAAGCCTGAATTAAACCTCGAAAATGGTGCCTGAGTGCTTGGGTGAAGGGCATGATTGTCTTCAGTTGGCTCCACAGTCGTACGGAAGTGGGAGAAATTAGTTTGTGCACTTAGCGCTTAAGTGGCTCCATACCTACTGAGCTGTCGTGCCAGATTGTTTGTTACACAGTGTGTCATCTCCGCATGCGCAGGACATGTTTTCTTCAATTCTGTGTGCCGTATCTCAAGGGTAGTTCCGTCCCTTCAGCTGAACACCTCCGGCGGCCTGAAGTAGAGTAGCCGCAGCCGGAAGCTCGGATGTAGTTGAGACGTGCACTGTGCGCGCATCAGTTGTGCTTGCCGAAAATCATCCCGGTGGGAAAGAAAGTTGTCACTTCCAAGGCCATGCCGACGCCGGCGGACAAGAAGAAGATCGTCAAGAAGCGCACGAAGAAGTTCACCCGTTTCCAGGCTGACCACTTCAAGCGCATGAACCCAGCCTGGCGCAAGCCTAGAGGTATCGATGGTCGGGTGCGCAGACGATTCAAGGGCTCCACTCTCATGCCAAAGATTGGTTATGGCTCCGACAAGAAGACCCGGTTTCGCCTCAAGAATGGCTTCTACAAGTTCGTTGTGCGATGCCCGGCGGACCTAGAGATGCTTCTCATGCACAATGAGAAGTACTGCGTCGAAGTCGCCCACAACATTGGCGCCAAGAAGCGCAAGGAGATTGTGGAGCGGGCTGACCAGCTTCGCTTGCACGTCGGGGGCTTGGAATCTAGTTGTCTATTCATCAACCGAATACTGCTCACACCCAGGGAGACACTGGAAAGTTCATCAATTCGGAAGGAGTGAATGAGCAGGGTGCCTCCACCAGAGAGAACTGTTGCCTTCGGCATGTCACGTCATCGCGCGGTTCCACATGTTTCAACGTTTCAACCATCATTTTTTGACGAGTCAATCTCCACACGAGTCAATCTGTATCAGTCTATCCCAGACATGGTCACCAGACCCACACAAGCCCGATGTTGAGATGTTGATGTTGACACCGTTGTCAACTTGAGGCACCTCTGAAAGAAGCAATTTGCTTTAACTGTTGTCCAACACACTGAACAACAGTTCAATGACACTTGTCAAGTGTCTGCCCTGAATACTTGCAGGTTACCAATCGGCAGGCACGGTTACGAACTGAGGAGCAGGACTAGTGGCGGCCGCGAGAGGGATCTAGAGCTGAAAGGGGTATCAAAACAGTGTGTGCAGGTCGAGCTACGGCTGTTTGACGATGGTCCCCAAATGGACAGGCAATTTCCAAGACCTCTGTAGCGCAACACTTTGCTATATTTAGTGTTTTGTGGAGTTCACACAGTGCTGATCCGGGATCAGTTTGAATAGCCATCAAGCAAATCCGGGAACCCCTCAACTGAAAATCATGGATACTAGTCCCCATGCCATGCCAAGAGGTGTGGACGTCCACATCCCAGAGAATACGCGGTAAAAGTCCCGGAACCGCCATAGCTTTGAGTGGTATTGGTTCAAAAGTATGGATAATTAGTTACATAGGCTATTTTGGGGTTTGGACATGTTTAGATCGCCCAGTCCTTTTCAGGTGGTCTTGCCTTGATGTGCCGTATCTCAAGGGTAGTTCCGTCCCTTCAGCTGAACACCTCCGGCGGCCTGAAGTAGAGTAGCCGCAGCCGGAAGCTCGGATGTAGTTGAGACGTGCACTGTGCGCGCATCAGTTGTGCTTGCCGAAAATCATCCCGGTGGGAAAGAAAGTTGTCACTTCCAAGGCCATGCCGACGCCGGCGGACAAGAAGAAGATCGTCAAGAAGCGCACAAAGAAGTTCACCCGTTTCCAGGCTGACCGCTTCAAGCGCATGAACCCAGCCTGGCGCAAGCCTAGAGGTATCGATGGTCGGGTGCGCAGACGATTCAAGGGCTCCACTCTCATGCCAAAGATTGGTTATGGCTCCGACAAGAAGACCCGGTTTCGCCTCAAGAATGGCTTCTACAAGTTCGTTGTGCGATGCCCGGCGGACCTAGAGATGCTTCTCATGCACAATGAGAAGTACTGCGTCGAAGTCGCCCACAACATTGGCGCCAAGAAGCGCAAGGAGATTGTGGAGCGGGCTGACCAGCTTCGCTTGCACGTCGGGGGCTTGGAATCTAGTTGTCTATTCATCAACCGAATGCTGCTCACACCCAGGGAGACACTGGAAAGATCTGGATGGATTGTTGGAGGGTGACGAATGGAGAGTATAGGAACTACTTTTGGAGCATTGCAATTGCCTCACACCTGGGGAGCCACACATATGCACGAGGAACAGCAGATGTTTTCTGAAAAAAAGTGCAAGTAGGCCTTCTCGCAGAATAGCATGGACAAGACTATAAGCAGACCGGTGAGAACACGGGTAGATCTTGCTTGTTTCTCGTTGGAACTTGTTGACAGGTTCAGTTCTTTGGTCTAGTAAATCCAACCAATGGAAGACCATGCGAAGCAAATGCTCACTCTCTACCTTCAAGGTGACCAACCGAAATGCTCGCCTGAGAACAGAGGAGCAGGACTGAGAGGGGGAGACGTTCAGCAGAGTGTCGGCAAAAGAGCGAAGTGTCGGCAGTGTCGGGTGGATTTCTGGTGATGCACTAACATCCACAGAACTCCGTCTGAGCTGGCGAACCGCCAGTGAACAGTTCCAGCTCATCAAGTCCGTCACTGGAGACTGTCGCTGCTTTCTGTGTTTGTCGCTGCTCGTTCTCTTAAGCCGTAAGCTGTTGGCCCAGTTGGTGAGTGCGGGTTCGAAGGATTGCCTCCATACAGGTTTCGGAACGTCCGGTGTTGGCTGGGTGTCCTTTAGTAAGTGAGACCTGAAGCATAGGCCGTGAAGGGGAAACCCATCCCTTTGGTAGCAAGTCCTTCTGGGATTTGCCCCGGGGGATTTGCCCCGAGGTTTTGGATCACTTGCCCCTTTGGACTTGCATCTTTTGTCAGATTCTCATGTCAGGTTCCCCTTCCACGAAGCAACACGTGCGGCCATGTTCATTGATTTGAGCTCTTCGTGAGCCACAGCCGAGTCTCCGCCTCCAGTGATCCTGGCTCAAGACTGCGCCAGGAGGCAATAGAAGTGCCATTCTGGGCATGAAAGCGACTCAAATGTTCCACAGCTGGGCTGTGACCCGCATGTGTTCTCCAGCTTTCAGCTTGGAATGCGCATAGGAGCTGAGAGGATCATTCAGCACTCAACAACCATCAACAATTCCAAGCATCTCTCTCTATATATAATATATGTATATAAAATGTAACATTGAATATATTGACCTGTTGCTGCGATCAGTGTGTGCCTGGGATTTGGGCGGCAAAATGCAGCTACCACCGCATGAAGGCCAGGACTCCATCTATATAGTAGACATGTAGGTTTACACAGGTTTACAGATTACAGCACCAGGAAAGGCCTTTTTGCAACCATTGGAACCAAGGTCTACCATTGGAATCATAGGAACCAATTACTTTTTTATACATCTTTTTCATGACCACTTCACCGGATTCTTCAAAGGAAGCCAAGATCTTCATGGCGAAGTGGCCACCTTTGAATCCTTTCTTTCTGCTTTGTGTCTGTTTTTTCAGCGCAGCAACACAAAACAAGTGCTGGTCTGGCACTTCAGACTTCCAATATGAATCATGAGTCATCCACATCATACATCATCCACTCCTACGAACGACCCCATCCTCTCTGACCACCCAATCACTCGTGGTCCACGGGTCCACGGTCCACGGTCGCTCGCAGCTGCTGCCCACTCCTCGAAGATGCGGCCCTTGCCATCGGTGCACGGGGTTTTGTCTCCGGAGGTGTGTGTTTGGGTGCCCAGCTTGTTTGGACAATGCGTTTGGATTTTAGTGCTCCTTGGAAGCAAACTCAAGAAGCTACTATATATAGGTGGAAGCCATCGCTATTAGGTTGGAGGCCATTGCTACTAGTAGCAAGAAGCTACTAGTATCTCTTCAGATGTTTTTGGGCAATAGTTGCTCCTTTGAACCAGCATGCTACCCTGCCGGGGCGATTTGGTGGAGCAATTCTGTTGTTTCTGCCGGAACTTCAATGCCCAGCCGATTCCATCCATGACTTCGCCAGTGGTTCGGCGTTTTTCCGCCACGCCTTCCGTCTCGGAAGACCGAGGCCAAGGCCTTCTTCTCGACCACTTCGGGGGATTCCTTGAGGCACCCGGGACCACTGGTAGGAATAAGTCTGGTAGGAATGAGGTAGAAGTGATGGCCTCCAACCTAATAGCGATGGCAACCTAGAAGTGATGGCCTCCCACCTAATTGCTGGTAGGAATGAGTTCAGTTGTTGTTCGCTCTCTGGTGGAAAGGATCGGAGGATATGAGAGGAAGGCAGGAGACCGCAGGACGGACCAGACGAATGCAGGAACCACTTTGCCGATGGTCCAGTTAATGCGCAGATGGCAAGGACCGGGCCGAGCTGAGAAGGGACACTGAGAGCAGCTTTGATGGTCGTGGTGCAATGGAGAATCTGTGCTTAGAAGGATTTGAGGTTGCCATTGTAGTCTTGATGCTGCACAGTGCGCAGGGACAGAGAGCATTGTGATGAGAGAATAGTATAAAGAAGGCACTTCATGGGTGCATATTAGACTAGGGAATAGTCTATTTCTTCTTTTGCCAGGGGTCAAATTGAGGGACACTGTGAGGAGTTCATCCTTTCAATCCATCCTGCAACCGCCGACCAGATATCAGCCGGGGGTGCGGGGACACAGGAACATGCCCGAGGGCTGATCGTTTCGCTGAGAAACTGAACGACACAGAAACCGAAGCGGTTGTGGAACGGGCGTTCAGAGGGACGGAGATTCATCCTTTGGTGGGGAATAAATGCAAGTTTAGACTCTTTCAATTCAACATCATTTGCAACGGACAAGGTTCTTTCGACCACAATTACAAGTTTAGTTTCGACTCGATGGATTTATTTCTTTCCGGCTGCGGAGATTTTGGGCTCGTCTTTTGAGGTAGACAGTGGCATGAGAAGGTCAATGTGTACGTACCATTCCACCTTTACGCCTTGCTCTTTGGATGCATGGGGTCCGCTTCTCAGAGCATCTGCATCTCGCTGACGAGTACCAGGGTACCATCGCCAGTTAGGCCTTTGTTGAGAAGAGAGTACCTTTTTTGGCCAAGAACTCTGAAGATGGCTGCTAGAGATACTGAGATCCTCACATTACTCACACTACACCTCCACCTGTAGATCCTTTCCTTTCATGCTCCCGTAAACATAAACGGGAGCCCCGCTGAAGGCCCCGTGTTCTCGCCGTTCCGGCCGTCTCCCGTCTCGAAGGTCCCACGAATGAGCTTCGGGAACTCTACAAGCAGCAGTCGCGGGGTGCTGGTGCCAATGCTCCGAAACCTCCACTCTCAGCAGCCGGGGGGCACAGAGGATGAAGGGATGGGTGGTCAGAGTCCGAGTCCTAGGGGACTGGCGGCCTAGCGTACACTTCATGGCACTTGGGAAGTCGTGGTGTTTCACCTAGGACCCGAGGTTTTCGGGGTGTGTAGCCAGCCCCCAAGGGAGCTAGGGTCACTTGGTCACATTGCAGAATGGTACAGCAGTGGTTCCAGGGCACAGCCCATGCCCAAGCTCTTGGAAGCTCGATTTGGCGATCAGCTTATGTATATCAGCTTGCTGACTTCCCTGGCATACTGGAGGAAGAGCCAATTCCTCATCAACAGGCATTCCCAAAGTCATTGCTTTTGAACATTAATTTTGATTACGTAGTACGTCTTGAACAGTACCAGATTTATGACTCAGAGTATTCAGAATGTGGGTATTATTTTGTCTGAGGACGCTTTAATGCTTCAGGACATTTCAAGTCTTCTCCCTCCCGCGAGAAGTCTGAGGTCACGACAACGAAGTCCTCGTACCCTGCATATGTACGGAGCTTGGAGAGCTTGGAGAGTCCGAGAGGCGTCCGAGAATCGTCCGAGCCGCCCTCCCTCAAGTCGGAAGGAGGATGCCATTCCCAACAGCCTTTTTTCCACAAGGTAGACCCAGTATTCAGATCATGAGACCTTTTGGATGTGTAAATATATACGGCACGCCCTTGCGCTACAGCCACAGAAGAGTGTGGGGCTGGCACCCAGGATGCCCAAGCTTCCAATGCAGTGCTTAGCAAGACCCAGCGGCCCCATGAGGCCGGAAAGCGTAAGAGCTGGTTCTGGGGAAGTGAAGTATCCCTCAAAGATTTACCTCACTTTGAAGTGGAAACAACACGTTGGGTCAGGTCCGCTTCTGCTTTACTTCTTGCTTTTTAAATCCGCTGTTGTTGTGGCGGGGTCTCAAATTGCTCACGACCATCGAATTTATGGAGGCACTAGATAGATGCCACATCCAGAATCCGCGAACTATACATACATACGACATCATACGACAACAGGAGTCAAATAGATGCAGACTCATACGATCTCATTTGTCTACTTGAGCGACCATGGGTGAATCAGGCTGCACTTTGAATTACGACAGTGGAGATCTACTCCTTTTGCACTTTGCATATCATGATGAACACTCTTCTTCGGTTTTGGGAAGTACCGTTCCCTGATTTTTTTCGCGGTCTTGAATCCTTTTTCGATCTTCTTCGATCTTCAGCAGGTGGTGCATGTGGATCCCTCGGCCAAGTTCCTGGAAAGCTCTTCGGTTCTTCATCGGGACTTCCGACGCTTTGATCAGAAGCAGATGTCAGCGCCTCAGCGCCTCAATCAAGAAACGAATCGAGAAAAGCACTTCCTTAGCGGAAGTAAGGAGTAGTGCTTGAATGTTCGGACAAAAGGGTAGAGCATTCTTTCTTTTGGTGATTCTGAAGTGGATTCACTCACCAATGTTTGGTTTGCGGGTCGTCAAGACCTCAAACTTAAACAAGCTAAAACAATCTAAAACATTGCTGTACCATCCCATGCTGTTGTTTTTTGCCAGCACAATGGCCGAGATGCTCATGATGATGTGTATGACCAAATATGGAGGGAAGGTTTAGCTTGGGATTTCAACTGAACAAGATGGAACCCACGAACCCGAATGCAAACACGTTCGACAAACTAATATGTCCAAATCACACTCTTGTAGGACACTCTTGCGGGACACTCTGTAGGACACTCTTGTAGCACACTCTTGTGGGACACTCTTGTGGGTCACTCTTGTGGGAAACTCTTGTGGGACACTCTTGTGGGACACTCTGTGGGACACTCTTGTGGGACTCTCTTGTGGGACACTCTTGTAGGA